ACATTATGGTAGCCATTGTTGACTTCCTTATTGTTTGGTCTTGAAGACCTAAAATGCCTTCATCATCCTGTTCTGTTCAGTTCTATACTATTTTGTTTTGAATGAATTCATTGTATGTGAATTCTAATAAAGTCCAACTTATCAGTTATCTTAACGGTTCATGCTTTGAGTGCTGTACCTTAAAACTCAGTGCCACATCCAAGGTACAGATTTAATTACCAAAAAAAGTTCAGTGGCACAAGTGCACCAATGTCTTAGGACCTAAAAAAGGTAAAGTACTGAACATAACATCCTCACTTCCAGTTTTTAAAATAGTATATATAAGAAAGGAAATAAAGTTGCAAAATATTAATACATATGCCTTTGTTTCACTTTTATCTAACAGATGACAGATGACATTCAAAAAATAAGTGATACTGATGCTCTCCATCTTCAAACTGGAACATAACATAAAAATACAAACATCACTGTGTTAACATGTTTGTATATTCAGTGATAAAACATCTGAAAAATTTGGTCTGTCACATATAAAATTTAGGACTCAATGGAAAAAGATAAATATTTTCATATATTTAAAAAGAACTGAGCATTTAAATTTCATTGTCAAAAATATATTTATATTTGGCCATTTTTCCAACTGAATAGTCAACAAAAAATGATGTTTTTCTTTGAAAACTTGAGGAGAGGAGGAATGTAACTCTGATTATAAGTTTAGATGGCAAAAAGATTTAATTTCTGGTGGTAATTAAATGAACATGCTCATTTCAATTGTCTTATTACAAAAAATTCATTGATGATTGTTACTTAGTAGATAGAAGTTTTAAAAGAAAAAGTTCATATCTAAGGGCAACATTTAACCAATTCAGATCCTACAGGTCTGTCAAAATACATGCAGTTGAAAAATGAAAAGATGTCTACTACTTTAGTAGAGGTAAACTCAGCCCATCAGGTAACTGTACCTACCACTTAACCTTAGCAGAGGGGTTCCAAGATGTGTTCTGAGACTACTAATTTATTTAACACAAAAGGCTTTATTGGGGGGATTTGGAAAAACCCCACAATTAAAGTTTAGCTAATTTGAGACTAATAAAAGTTCCACTTTTCATTATTAACAGTGTACACTCAAGAATAATTATATGATGTTCTTCCATTAAGCTCATCCAATTTAAGTAAAATTTATCAAAATACTTTCAAGTACTCTGTAAAATGAATGTTTAACAAATACTATACCAAATCTAGTGGTGGGGATTTAGCTCAGCAGCATAAGCACCTGTTTGGCAAGCATAAGGTCATGAGTTTGATCCCTGGTATCAAAAAACAAAACAAAAATATATAAAATCTAAGCATCCAGTACTTTTTATGTCAAAAAGTATTTAATTCTACATATTACCTCTTCCAAAGGTACCATGTAAAGCAAAGTTTTAAACAAAGAAAATGTCTATGATTACAGCAAATCACTGAATCTGTTATTACTTGATCTTTTAATAGTTTATATAAAGAATAAGAGCTAGAACAATTATTCATAAGAATTTACATAAGAATTATTTTCCACAGTGGTACAGATATAAAATGCAGTTCCACATGGGAATAAGTAGAGAAGAAAATAAAATTTTTTTCAATCTAAGAAGCCAACTTTCATAAAAACTGTATTTCTTCAATCCTACTAGGCATTTCCCCCATATTTTAAGTATCTCTAGTAAGGAAAAAATCCAATATAATTGTGTGACGTTTATTTTTTTCCTCAAAACTCGTAATATCTGGTATTAAGAGATGACTTGGAAATGTGGTATATTTTAGCATTAAACTGAATTTTCATGGCAGCAGTTACTATCAAAAATATATAATGATTTTATTCCATTTCATATTTTGTAGTTTTTCATTAAAATTTTCTACTTCTAGCTTATTAAACGACTCTTACAGGCTAGTAAGTACTGTGCCTGACATTGAGGGTATGATAGTAAATAAAACAGACCCACATTGTCAACTACTTTTAATCAAACGCACTGTCTTGTCCATTAGGTAACAATGGCACAGCACCTACATTACCATGCAAATAAGGGAAATGAGAATTCAAGTGTATGTAGCAAGAAAGATTTACCATGCCATAAAATTCAACAAACATTTATGTACTCTTCCCATCACGCAGAGTAAAATTCAAAGCCACTTCTGTCATAATAACATTTTATTTGTATATTACTTTATACCTTACAAAGATATATTAATTTAGGCAGGGCATGGTAGCAACACCTGTCATCACAGCAAGAGGACTGCTGTGTTCCAGGCCAGCATGGGCTACAAAGTGCAGTTCAAAGCCAGCCTGAATTGCAGAGTAAAACTCTGTTTCAAAAAGTTTCTCTGTTTCTTTTTTCAAAAAAAAAAAAAAAAAAACTATTCATTCCTTCTTCCTCATGACTAGAAATTTCTTATTATCACTTATGTAAGCTCTTCAAATTAATAAAAATTAGGCCACAGATATCAGCTTTGGGAAAAGTCACCCTACTAAAATACTATTTTTCAAACTATGTATCAAAAACAAAGAAATTCAGAAAATCTATATATTCATAGTAATCTCTCTTAACTACCAAATATTATTTATCTCTCAACTTGATAGACACATTTATATTTTCACCAATCTCAGCATTAATGTAAAATAAATAAGACATTTTCTGGAGACAGAGTCTCACTATGCAGTGTAGGCTGGCCTTGAACTCACTTAGGTAGCTCAGGCTGGCCTCAAACTCATGGGATCCCCCTGGTGGCCTCCCAAGTGCTGGAATTACAGGCATGCATAACCATACCCACGTAAAAGTGACTTTTAAAAAGCTCACTCGTGATTATACTATCAAAAATTAAAAAGCATTTCTTGCAATTTATCACTTAAAAATATGAATATTTCTACTGCACATATTACACTAATATCAACAGCAAAAACTGAGAATAATACTAGAAAACTAAAATGCTTCCCTTAAAAAGGGTAACTTAAACAGATAAAGTACATCACTCTGAATTTTTATTTAAGAGATTATTTCCAATTCTGTGTTTTTTAGAATAGTTACATAGAACAATTTCTCTTAATCACTTTCTTGTTCTAGACCAGCCTGGGCTACAAAGTGAGCTCAAGGCCAGCCTAAACGGCATGGCAAGAAAAAAGAAAAAAAACCCACTAAATCTTTTTTATGTATCTTAGAAGCTTTTCTTTCCCCCTGACAACCTTCTGTATGTACACCCTCAGCCCACTTTTCCTTGGGTCATTCATCTATTTTTCACTAATTTATAAAACACATAAAGACAGTAAGCCTTTTCACACACATTCACATATACTCCTGGTTTGTAATGATGCAGTTTAGGTCACATGAACTGTAAGATGTCTCTAAGAATGTGCACATTGAACACACAAAAAAATCACTGGTTATATTATTTTAGGATAAGCATTTTTACTAACACATGATACCCTGCAGTAGTATCATGACCTAAGAAAAGCGACTACCCAAAGCCAGTACTCATCAGCTTAAAACAACCTGTCAAGAATAAGTAAGAATTTCGGGGCTGGGGATTTAGCTCAGCGGCATAAGCGCCTGCCTTGCAAGCAGGCAGTCGTGAGTTTGATCCCTAGTACCGATAAAAAACGAAAAAGACAAAAAAAAAAAAGAAGAAGTAAGAATTTTGTATTTCCAAACTACATATGTTAAACTCCAGAACAGTATACTTGGGGGCTGGTGTTTAGCTCAGCGGCATAAGCGCCTGCCTCGCAAGCAGGCAGTCATGAGTTTGATCCCCCGTACCAATAAAAAAGGAAAAAGATAGATATATATATATATATATATATATATATATATACACACACACACACACACATACATAAAAAGAACAAGAACAGTATACTTATTCATTGAAATATGTAAATTTGAGCTTAACATTAATTTTATCGCTACTATCATTACTCTGAAAGTATGCACACAGATTCAAATTTTTACTTTTTTCTAGAAATAGAAAAATTTACAAAAGTAAATGTATAGGAAATGCTGATGGAGAAGGAGGACCCACAGAAAGTCAAAAACTTGTGTTTGTAAGGACTGGAGGTGGGGAATGAAGGTCAAATCCAAAATGGATCGTTAAAACTCAAAAAGAAAAAAAGTTTAGGCCAAATAATGGCAGAAATCTACTGTCTTCTTGACACCCTTTTTGGTAGCTAAGGGACAAATAGTGGATGAACTTTTTTAAAAGATTATAGACCTGAGATTGTAAAATCAAAGTATTGCTTTAAAATGTAGATTTTCCTATCACCCAAAATCTTATCACTTGCCATCAAATTATGAAGTATATGTATATAAAATTAGATCAAACATAATTCTTTTTCTAGGAAAGTCTGTATAACATTATAAACTATTAAAAACAGTTTTAACTATATAAAATATTATCCTAGGAATCTGTAAGAATCCTTTCATATTAGTTCAGAAGCCATCATAAGGTACAGACACTTGCTCACAACTATTATTTCTTTGTAATATAAATAAATTTACACTAAAGTATTTTTCCAGGTCAGTTTCACCAACAAATGCAAGAAGTCAGGATTCATACAAAGTCCTTTTCCACTAAATTTTTAAAAGTACAATTTAACCTTATTGTTCTTCATTTAAGCTGCATAGTTATTCTGATATTTTGGTAAATATTAAGTATTATAAAGATAAGTAAACAAGGTACAAAACTGAATTTGTAGTGTGCTCATAATGCTATAAAACTGCCTCACTAAAAAGGATTTAACAAAATGTTACTATTTGTCCTGAGACAGAATTATTTTTTCCTGTAAGTTTTATTTTATTCATAAATTAGTATAAACTATAAGTTTATAGTTAAACTTTTTCTTAAGACATAACCATCAAATCAAATAAGTAGAAGTAACTTTTTTTTAATCTGTAGGATTTTTTTCTCATTTTTTAAATTTTATTTTAAAAAGAAATATAGAAATAAAAGTTTCAAATCAGGTTAATGGGAGAGTAACAAAAGATATGCAGTGCTTCACAAATTTGCATGTCAGTGTCTAGAGGTTATGGGTCATGCTACTCTTCTCTGTACAGTTCCAATTTTAGTGTATATTTATCAAAGCAATCACTGAAAGTAACTTCTTCAGGCTCATGCAATGATCCCCTCAACTACCACAACAGTATTTAAAAGTCTATAGTGTCTGGCAATGGTTGCTCAAAATAGCTACACCAAATTCTTTGCACTTCATCCAAGTAGATTAACATATAAAAGTGGCGGTGCCCCATGCTTTCCTATGCACTGTACATTAAGATTGAGGAACAGATGCTGCCACAGCTATGGTGAAACTGACATTTTAGGAAAAAATATGTCTCCCCAGATGTTTCTTCCCTTTTACTCCTATAAAAGTGATTACAATCAAATTAGAATTGCCAGTGTATAAAAATAGTTATGTATCTTGGAACATAAATTCCAAGTACCTTTCACCTTCAGAATGCTGCACTGATGACCATTAGAGGGCAGGGAACCTAGTCAAAACAAAACAAAACCAAAAAAAGATATAGCCTGGAAAAATCAAGTAATCAGATTATCATTCTTAGCCCATTTAGTGGCAAATGGGAAAGAAAAGCCAACCAGTTCTATTGTGGGATAAGGTTGCTCAATTTGCCGAGACACTAAAATCGAGTAAGTTAAATATTTAGGTAAGCCAAATGACAAAAGGCAAGGTGGTAAAAAAGAAATATGATCTGATTTGCTACACTCACAAGAAGTTCAAGAAGGTAAATCTTCCCCTTGCTTCTTCCCTTCTACTTCTTTGCCATATTAAAAGGGACTAAAGGGTGGTTATCAAGGCCAAGGATAAAGTACGTAGGCACAATATCCCAAGTGGCAGTTTTAACCCAGCTTATGACTTTTAACTTAGAATGAAATTTTCCAGTTATTTAAAATAATGAAACCTAAAGTTATCCTACAAACTGATGAACCACTTAAAAAACAACACATTATTTACTACTCCAGAGGCTAAGGCAGGAAGATTGAAACTTCCAAATCAGCCTCAATAACTTAGCAAGACTCTATCCTCAAAGTTTTTAAGAGATGAGATGTAGCTCAGTCACTGGGTTCAATTCCAGCACACACACAAACAGAAGAGCACAACTTTTAAAATAGTGACATAGTTTAAGTGCACTTCAGATTTTATTCTGCATATACATCTTTGTAATCTTTCCACTGAGTTTACTGTCTCAAATTTTAAAAGTAAACCTATTTCCTTTTTCATGACCTCAATTTCCAGTTAACTGCATGATTAAGCAAGTATAATCTTAGTTTCAGCTGTGCTATAAAACAGCCTGCTGGACTTGGATCAAATATCTGGATCTAAAATGTTTAACAGATATTGTAAAATTGGAAGAAAATATTCAAATGGGAAGGGGAATCAGGGAGGGGAAAAGGAAGAAACAAGACATATCATATACAGATTCAAATTCCCTATGATGAATGTGATCATTATGTGTTACCTAAAATTTACCAATAAATTTAATTAATAAAAAAAAATCTGGGTATAAGTTTCTCCACTTGTATAAGGACAGGAATTGGTTCAAATGATTAGATGAACCCTTTCATTCTAAAATAATCAGTCTCTAATTCTTCAGGATGACATCAAATGGTTTTGGGTAACAACTACCTTAAACTAGAAAAACACCCATGGATTAAAACAGTATAATCCTCAAATAACCATTCACCACAGCAACACTGGTGAAGACAGGATTTAGATTTACCCCCACCCAATTCCATCACTTCATCCAACCTTCAGTGAAACAAACCCACCACTACCTACTTATTAATTTACTTACAGAGGAAATGGGTAAGCCCAGCCCCACTATGGTGAGGATAGTGGATGCGACGGTACTGTCATGGTACGGATACTGGATGCTGTTGTCATTACAGAAAAAGCCTCTCTGAAATGGATATATTTGGCCCAAATTTAGAACAGCCATAGGCATGGAAGCTGTTGGGGGAAGGGAAAAAAGACACACATGATTAAATTCAGTTCACCTCAGGAAGTAAAGTCTACTGAATGGGATGCAAATCTTAAAAATATTTTCTCCTTTTCGGAGCAGTCTAAATACTTCACAATACCCAAATGTAAAAACTGAAGAAATCATGCAGCATTTGCTTATTCAAGAATAAATTCTCTTACTTGCACTGACCTCTGATTTTAGGAACAATCAATGAAAAACTCTTAGAAAAGATAATAAAACTGACCCATGGAAAATCTTGAAAAAACATGATTTTCTATTTTATATTCTGTAGTTCATATTTAAATGAACTGCTTAATATCTGAAATACATTTAAGAAAAAGGGCAAAGGTCTATAAATAAACTTAGTAATAGCATAACAGTCAAATGTAGTTAAGTAGCTATCAGAATTTACTTCACATTAGAATTTAACAGCTAAACGAAATTAGAAACCCTACATATAAGTGTTAATAAAAACAGAAAGGAACACATCCTTTGTTTTCCAAATACAAATAAAAAGTGAGTTTTATTAGCCCTGGCAAGCCTCCAAAACTACTTTCACAAGTTATAAGGAAATAATTACAGTTGAAAAATTGCACCTAAATAAAAAGACCCTGAAAGACCAAAGTTAAATAACTTAATACAAGTTTTGTTTTATGGTTGTGTTTTGTTTTGCTTTTTGTTTTGGAGACAGGGTTTCACTATGTTGCCCTGGCTAGTTAACAGACTCATAATCCTCCTGCCTCAGGTTCCCAAATAACTAGAACTACAGTCATACCCAATGTACTTGGCTAGCAGCTTCTTGATATGTTTCAATTTACCTTGCTTTAAGTTTTCTTTATGAAATTCAAACACTAAGCATCTATTCAATTAATACCCAATACTAAGCTAAAGTATGTATGAAGAAGGCAAACTAGTATAAAATAGATACTACATTTAAGCACCAAAGCTGTAGGTATAAAAACAAAATGCACACTCAGGAAAGGAAATTGTTTTAAAAGAAACACCAATAATATGTAACTCAGTGGTGGAGCACTTGTGTGGCATGGAGGAAGTCCTAAATTTGATCCCCAGTTTTAAAAAAATTACATATACTTATATACAATTATTATTATACCCTTATGCATATTATGTGTGTGTATGTCTTTTGGGAGAACAGCTAAACTCTTCTATTTTGATTGTGATAATTCTACCACTATTTTTACTATATGTAATATTTCAAAAGAAATACCATAAAAGGTAGAAATAAAAACTAAAAATATGACTATTTAAAAAAGCATAAGAGGGGGGCTGGGGATTTAGCTCAGCGGCATAAGCACCTGCCTTGCAAGCAGGCCGTCGTGAGTTCGATCCCCGGTACCGATAAAAATGAAAAAGACAAAAAAAAAAAAAAAAAAAAAGCATAAGAGGACCTTCAAGGACTCAGAAATCAATGTAAACTGATATAAAAGTCTAATAAAGGAGAGAATGTTTGAATCTGAAACAGCAGAAAAGTCACAGGCAACAGGGAAGGGCACAAGGAGAGCAGTCAGTGGAAGGAATGCCAAGGGCAGCGTGAGAACTGCATCAACAAAAGCGCAGAGGGAACGAGCAAGGAGTTTCCAAGGTACAAAACATTTTATAGCCATCACATACTGCATGCTCACACATGCCAGACAACAGGCTACACAGATTAACTCAATCCTGACCTCTAACCCGTTAAGTACTATCAGTAACCTCATTTTTGGCTAGTTATCAATTTAAATTTAGAGAAATTAAGAATATTGCTAAAACTCTTAAGTCATAGAATCAGGATCCCAACACAGGCTGTTTCTGGAGTAAATGGGCATATATCCTCCAATGGATACAAGTGATCTGACCAGAGCAACAGGTTAGAACTACAGCAAGAAAGATAGGATTGGGGCAGAAAGACCTTATCCTTTAAAAAGACTTGCTCAGTAAAATATGTTATGTTCATAATAAAACCTCAAATGGGCCAATGTCTTTGCTGCAAATTACCTCTAATTTCTCCAATTCTGTGGTTTTTAATGAGACTAAGAAAGTCTGAGGTTTCTGTGTTTATTTTAGCACCTTTGCCTACATAAATGCTCAGCCACATCTTCTAGTCTCCCCCATGCAAACCTTAAAGCTCTAAGCACACTGAAACACTAGCTATTGCTCAAACTACTAAATCGAAGACTCTAGGAGCCCTCATATATACTCAGTCTTGTGGTGGAGTAGCTTTCCTCCCATTTCTCCTACAAGCCCAAATCAAGCAGCCCTTTCCAATCCTTCCTTGTACATAAGCCTTTTACACTGGATTTTAAATTGCTTTTTGCACATCTGTCAGCACCTCTAAAGCAGGAATTATCTTATTATTTCTGTATCGTTTGCACCATGCACAAAGTTAGATCTGAATAAAAAATTTATCGAGTGATAAATGAACAAAATTTAGGGTAAAGACCATAAAAAGTAATATGTTAAACTATTAGTGTGAAAAGTTGTAACTTAAGCCAAAAGAATGAGTTCTCAGAGAATGCATAAAAAAATTCAGAGAAGAGCAATGAGTCAAGGACTAATATAATGAAATAAAACAGCAGGAAAGAGAGGAAGAATGGATGGATGATTACACACTTCAGAGGGCAGGGAATGTGACTATTTTGGTCAGCAGTTTATAGAGCCCATTTTGTAAGCAAAAGAATGAACTACAGAAAAGAAGGACAATGTTGTGACAAAACCAAAGCTTAAAGTATCTAGCATCCATCTAGGTCAGTAATTGCAAGTCTTTTGGAGCTTTCAACGTAACAAACAGCCTGGGGTGGCAAGTAGTGTGCTGTAGGTCTGCCACCACTGATCTACCTAAATGTAGGTTGTTAAATGCTACTATCTCAGGGAAATACAAACTAAGTAAACACTATGAAGTTGAAAAAAAAAAGGCCATTATTAGTGACCTCTAATCTTTATACCATCTCCACCAACACATCAATTGTATCCTTAGGAAAACACATCAATGTTGAGCCTCAATACTAGGTTGTCCGTGGGGGGGATTTTTAGCTCACCGCCCTAAGCACTTGGCAAGCAAAAGGTTGTGAGCTCGATCCCCATTAAACAAAAAAATAATAATATTAGGTTGT